TTTGCTATGGGGGCCTGCATGAGGCCCCTCCGGGAGTTTCCCGAAAACTGAGGCAAAGGATTACCCTGTGTGTCCTTTGTTGATCTACATTCATTGGTCCAGTGTTTTCTCTTACCGCACCTTCTGCATACTCCAGAAGGAAGGGGCATTCTGTTGCCACTATAACTTTCTATCTGGAAAAGTAGCAAACTATACAAAAGTGTCTTAATATTAATGTTCATGTTTTTAACAGTTATTGCTTCCATAACCATAACAAATCTAAGGTGTAGACTAAAATTTTTTTGTGTACATTCACTGCTGTTCATTTCACAGAGACATTTTAAATTTTCCTGTCTGTCTCAGTGGGTTTTCTGTTCTAGTCTGAAATTCTCCTTGAAAACACATAGTGCTTTTATTTCACATGTCTCATTGATGTCCTTCATTTTGGAATAGCTCTAGTTTTTTTTTTTTTTTTGTTTTTTTGTTTTTTTTTGTTTTCCCCTGTCTATCGAGTCCTTGGCAGTTTTTTATGCTGGAAATCAATAATAATCTGGCTCTATCCACTGTGGCCTTGTGACCAGACTCAGGCCATGCAATGGCAGGGGTGCCAGAGACATGATGCTGTGCTTGATTCTGAGTCACGTGATGCTGGCCATTTAAGGTGCTTGGTCACATGATTATAGTTAAGTTGCCATCTGTCAGGTTTCTCCACTGTAACGTTAGTTTTACCTTTTGTGTTTTCATTTATATTTGGGGGACATAATGTAATAGGACACTAGTGCCCTGTTGTTATTACATCCTCACATCTCTATTCTCATTGAGTGTGCCAGCCTAAATCAACCACTAATGGTTGCCACATGCATGTTGTCTATCTTTATCTTGTCTTAGAGTTATTAATTTGCAAGCAGTGCTTACACCATTAGAAGGCGCACTCTTCACCTCCCTTTCTTTCTCCTTCCGTGTCAATTCATTGAAAGTTTTTTCTCTTAATGGATTATAAACTTTTACTCTATTTTAATGTTTAGATTTTCTCAGTAGGAGTTTATTCATGTTAGTGCCTTTGGTCTTTTGACACATTCATGTTCTTTTTGTTTGTGTGTACATGAAGTACTGGGGATTGAACTCAGGACCTTGCACCTGTTAGGCAAGAATGCTGCCTCAGAGCCATGGCCACTGTTCTTTTGATATGTTCCTGTCTTGTGCTAAGAATTTCCTTTCCTTTTCTTTCTTTTGTTTTTGAACACATGAAGATTTACCAGGCTTATTTTTTGTTGTTGTGTGCTCTGAATCAGCCATTTCTCCATAGAGCCCCTTAGTGATTTCCATTTAGTGGAGGATGGTATTTAATATCCATATCTGAGCACATTATTTTCATTCTATTGAGGTGTCATTGTGCATAAACCTCCCAGCAGACAGAACTAGGAAATGAATGCATGTCTCTGTGTATGCACATACATAAACATCTTTAATGATCTCTTTCTGTTTCATATTTATTTTGAGACAGTTGTCATTCTGTAGCTCAGGCTTGCCTGGAACTAGGAATGTAGCACAGGATGGCCTGGACCTTGCAGAGTCTCCTACCACTGCCTCACAAGGGCTGGGATTCTAGGCATGTACCACTATTCCTGGCTGTATATGAATGTATTTAAAATTAGGTCACTTACTAATGATTTCAGTCCAACACCGTATAGTTCTTTTAGCCTTCACCTTCCATGTTTTGAAATCCTCCTTTAGACAGTGAGACATCTCACTCCAGTTCTTCTGGATGTATTTATTCATCTGCTCCATCAGTTAGCAGATTGTTAACTGTCATCACTCCTAACTACTCAGGCTGTTTCTTCTGTCTGCCATGCTGTTCTTCCTCTCACCAGCTCCATTTCATTGGCAGCTAGGGAATATTGCCACCTACATCAGGCAACCTGCTCTTCCCCACCACACCATCTCTTTGGGTACCAGGCCCTTTACTGCAGATGACTATGCATAAAACCCCACCAGCCTCCTTGCTCGGCTGTCTTAGAAGCTGGCTTCTTGGTGTTGGGGAGCCTAGGGAAGAAAGGAAGAAAGGAAGAATGGAATGAAAGGTAAGAAGCCAGATTATGGATATGTATGTTTTGAATAGGAAGCTCATAGGATCTGGAAATAGATCTAATACAGAGAGCATGGGAAAGGAGTAAACAGTGATTCTAGGGCTTTTGGCTTGAGCCACTTGGAGAATTGAATGCCGTTAAATGACAATTAGAAACAATAGAAGGTTTGGTAGAAGTAATGAGAGCTCATTTTGGAGTGTTCTGAGTTGGAGGTACCTTTCAAAAAATCACAAGGAGATGTAAGCACAGTGTGTTACCCATGCTTCCGGACATTATCCGCTGGAGATACGTATTTGCGAATGCCTGGCATAGAGATGTATTTAAAACCATGAGTTCATTGGAGTTTCAAAGAGAGAACATTTGATAGAAAAATTTATGCTGAGACCAGAGGCAGTTTCCAGTTAGAGAGGTGGGGAAACATTAAGGTAGGTGGGAGGACGACCAGGTGAATGCAGTGTTTTGGAAGCTAAGTGAAGAAAATGTTTCAGTTAATAGGAAAGGGTTAAACTTTGCTCAGATGCCTCTTGGTTGGTCAGGAGTGGCAAAGACTATGAATTTACCACTGAATTTAGTAGTATGGAGGTCACTGGTGACATTAATAACTGTTGTATATGGATGGAGTGGGATGCCTGACTGGAGTAGGTTTAAGAAGAAATGGGAAGAAATGAGAGGCAGCAAATGTAGAAAACTTGGAAGACTTTTAGCTTAAGACACATCCTCACAGCTTTCTATGTGCATGATTTTTGGCTCTGGAGCTGAGTTTAAAGTAGCTTTTTTTTTTTTTTTTTTGACAACTGTGTGGATAGCCTGGCGTTATTAGAGCTCTACGTTATTGCTGTGCTATATTTAGTTGGTGAAATGTTTCTGTCATTGGTCAGTGTCTTCGCTACTGTGCTGTTGTTCTGTTACACCGTGACCAGAGCAACTTATAAAAGGAAGCATTTAATTGGGGGCTTGCTTACAGTTTCGGAGGCGGAGTCCATGGCTCTCATGGTGGGAGCACGGCTCAGGCATGGCCCTGGAGCAGTAGTTACGAGTGGATCCTGATCCGCAGGCAGCAGGCAGACGGAGTGAGGCTGGGTCTGGCGGGGGCTTTTGAAACCTCAAGTCTGACCCCAGTGACACACCTCCAACAAGGCCACACCTCTTAGTCCTTCCTGAACAGTTCGCCAGTTGGGGGCTAAGTGTTCAGATGTTCACATAATCACAGACAGATGAGTGGACTGGCGGGGGAGCTGATGGAAGTCACTGCAGGAGTTTTAGTACAGAGGGGGACCTGGAGCTGGGAAGCTCTCTCTAAAGAGTTCTGAAAGTGTTGGGGAAGGGGGACTTTGCAGAGTCTATGGAAGTATTGGGCTTTGTCAGCATCTTGACTGTCTTCTAAATTTTCTTTTAAATGTAGATTATTGAAGAATCTCTTCTTATCCATATTTTTCTTGGTTTATAAGGAAACCTCACTAAAAATTAGAATATACTTCAATTTACTGAAATTTAAGCTTGTCTTTTATTTTCTACATAGACATTTTTGTGTGTACTTACTCATGTGTGTGTGTGTGTGCATGTGAGTGTATGTATGTGTGTGTATACATGTGCGCGCGTGCGTGTGCGTGTGCGTGTGCGTGTGTGTGTGTGTGTGTGTGTGTGTGTGTGTGTGTTGGATCTCTTCCTTAGTCATTTCCACCTTATTTTTTTTTCAATTTAATTTTATTGTGTGTGTGTTGGGGTGAGGGTGGGCATGCCACAGTGTGTGTGGAGTTAGTTCTCCTTCCGCCCTTACGTGGCTTCTGGGGATCAAACTCGGGTCATCAGCTTGTGCAGCAAATGCCTTTACTGCCTGCCGAGCCATCTTGCCAGGCTTCCACTCTTTGTTTTTTGTTTTGGAGACAGTCTCTTATTGAAGCTGGAGTTCACTGATTCAGCTAGCAAGCTCTAGGGGTCCACTTTTCTCTGCCTCCCCAGTGCTGGAATTACAGATGTGTACAGCTGTACCCAGCTTTTGGCCTGTGTTCTGGGGAGCCAAGCCCATGTCCTCATGATGTTCACACTGCTTGAGCTTGTCAGCAACAGCAGTGCCTCACGGAAAACTGATAGATCTGCCCCAGGGTGCAGGGCTTGTCCCACTGTCAGCTTCATGAGTGACCGTTGCTTTTCTTTTTCCTTCTTTATTCAAGAGTCCACCTTGTTTGCTGAGCTTGGCTATTTCACAGATACTGATGAGGTGCAGTTCGATGCAGCAAACGAAACTTACGTAAGTACTTACTGGAGGAGAAACAGTGAATAACTTGATGTTTCATCTGTACTGTTAGTAATGCACGAGAGCTTCAGGACAGTAGGTTTAGGCCGGGAGCTAAATGCCATCATTAATCAGAATGTTAGTAGCTCTTTTGTAGTCAGTAAATATAGAACTACAAAGTTGCATGGGTGTTGCTTTGAGAAGACTTGTTTCCTCAGCATATGTTTGGTCTTAGTGGTCAGTGACCTTGGGAAAGTCATTTTCTCTTCCTTCCTTCCTTCCTTCCTTCCTTCCTTCCTTCCTTCCTTCCTTCCTTCTTCCTCCCTTCCTCCCTTCCTTCCTTCCTCCCTCCTCCCTTCCTCCCTCCCTCCCTCCCTCCCCTCCCCCCTCTTTCTTTTTTGATACAAGGCTTCACTCTTGGCTGGTCTGGGACTTACTATGTAGCTTGGCTGCCTTGCAGTTCCTAGCAGTCCTCTTGCCTCAGCCTTCTGAGTGCTGGGATTCTAGGCCTAAACCACCACACCAAGTCCTATTTTTGATTTTTACAGATGCTTTGCCGCTTGTGGGAATAATAGTATTAAGAGGCATGTTGGGCACTGGTGGCGCATGCCTTTAATCTCAGCACTCAGGAGGTAGAGGCAGGTGAATCTCTATGAGTTTGAGGCCAGCTTGGTCTACAGAGTGAGATCCAGGACAGGCACCAAAATTACACAGAGAAACCCTGCCTTGGAAAACTTAAAAAAAAAAAAAAAAAGGCATGTGTGAGTCATGGATCTAGTCAAGCTTACCAACTTCCTTCTTAAGAACTCTGAAAATTAGTCATATCCTTATCTTTTTGATTGGTCAGAGAACTATATAAAAACTGTTATTGTAAGCCTGGAGAGATGGCTTGCTGGCTGCTCTTTCAGAGGACCCTGGTTCAATTCCAAGCACCTACATGGCTTCTCACAACTGCCTATAACTAGTTCCAGGGGATCTGGATTCTGCAGGCACTGCACATACATGCTGCATAGACATACATGCAGGCAAAACACATCTGCATAAAATAAATAATTAAAAAAACTTATGGCAATACTTTGAGCCACCAAAATGGCTTAGTTTTGTTTTTCTTCTTTTTTTGATAGCTGGTTGCTTATAGAATTCTGAACTCTGCCTCATTCTTTAATACCTTTACCTGCTGAGCTGTCTTAAATGGCTTTAAAAATGGTTTCTGGGTTTGTTTGTTGAATTCATAAAGATTTTAGAAGTTTGAGAACCACAGACTGGAGGGGAAAAAAGAACATTATCTTATAGTACTTACCCTCTGTATGATTCCTGAATTGTTTTTGGCTCTGTCTGTATTCTTTCTTTTATAGGGAGACGATATGAATAGCTATTTGTTTGAACCTGTTTTTCTAAATAGCAAAAGGGAAAAACTTGTCTTTCGTTGGATCTGGACCTCTCTATGGCAAAAGACTCATTTTGTGAATCTTGAATGGTCTGTTTCCACAATAAATCTCACTGATCTCTTAGTTATTGAGTCTATTTCCTCTTCTAGTTGTTATTGTCCTTCAGCAAACTAGAATTGCTGTATCTCTGGGTTCTCTAAAATGTATTTGCAGTATGAAGTGGTTAGCTTAAATTCTTTCTGTTAGATTGGCTAGTAGCAGTTATATTATCTATGATATGTACCTGACAGTTTTATTCCAAGGTGTGTGTATTTTATTCTAATCATTTGCTGATTTGACACCTCCAGGAAAATAATTTTGATCATCTTAATTTTGATTTGGATTTGATGCCTTGGGAGTCAGACATTTGGAGCTCCAGCAGTCACTTCTGCTCAGGTAATGATGTGCTTTACCCTTAAACGCTCTAGCCAGACTCTTGTTCGAGTTTTGTAGTTCTAGGAATTAAGTGGGTCAGAGAATCCTGGCCAACAGTGTTTATGAAATGGGAAGGATGAGGCTAGGGTTACCGGCAGTTAGGAGCCTGATAGTGGGGTCCCCTGCATTTGATGTACATTCTTCTGAGGTAGGGGCACCACTTGGCTAATGCTCTATTTTTTAGGTGATCAACATTTTGTAATGACAACAGAGAGAACATTGTGTTTGTCTTCTGTGTTCTGTCTACCTAGTGTGTAATGGTAAACTTTTCACAGTCTGTTATTTAGAGGAGGCCAATATGCTATAAATTCCTTGTTATTAGAAAAGAGAGTTCAAGTACAGTTTTACAACAGTTTACTTTGGATTTCTTTATGTTCAATTTAATTTTTAAAAATTTAAATTTAAAATTTATGCATATGAGTGTTTTGCCTTTATGTATGTCCGTGCACTGCTTATGTGCCTGGTGCCCAAAGAGAGCAAAAACAAAAAAACAAACAAACAAACAAACAAAAAAACAACAAAAAGCTGTCTGATCCCCTGGAACTAGAGATATGTGGGTGCTGGGAATTGAACCTGGGTCTTTGAGGAGATTAGACGACAGTTCTTTTCTTTTTAATTAGTCAGTTCTTAACTGCTGATCCATCTCTCTAGCCTCAGTTTTGTTTTTTTGTTTTTCTTTGAATAAAACCTATAATGGATAATGTGATTACACATGAGAGTCCTTGCAGAGGTTTCATTTTCCATGGCTTTATGCAGCTTCTCAGCCACTCAGGTTTTGTTCTACAGCTTTGTTATTTAAGACCCATGAGCTACCCTACTATAGGATAAAAAATAAACTTTTTTTTCCTTTGAAAGAAAATAACATTCTCATAAGTTACAGCCTTTTCTTACTAATACATCTTACCTTCTTTGTCAATAGATATGAGTTATTCCCTTAATCTTTATTAGATTTTCCCTGGTATGTGTGTGAGTGTGGTGTATGTATGTATGTAGTATATACATGTGTGTATAGAGGCTAGAGGAACTGGGTCCTCTCCTCTCACTTAGAAACTTTTTTTAGGTTTATTTATTGTTTATTTTTGTGTATGAATGTTCTGTTTGCATGTATGTTTGTGTGCCATGTGAGTGCCTGGTGCCTTTGGAGGTAAGAGGAGGACATCACTGCCCTGGTACTGGAGTTATGGACAGTTGTGAGCTGCCATGTGGGTGCCGGGATTCAAACCCAGGTCCTCTGTTAGGACAATAAGTGTTCATAACTTCTGTGTCTTCTCTCTAGTTCCCTCTGTCGCTTTCTGAGTCATTTCTTTGAGACGGGCATGCTCCCTGAACCCAGAGCTCATGTTTGTTTATGAGACTGGCAGCTAGTAGCTTAGATTTTGTTTTATTTATTTATTTATTTATTTATTTATTTATTTATTTATTTATTTATTTATTTATTTTTGAGACAGGGATTCTGTGTGTTAACAGTCTTAGCTGTCCTAGAACTCACTCTGTAGACCAGGCTGGCCTCAACTCACAGAGATCCACCTGCCTATGCCTCTGAGTGCTGGGATTAAAGGCATGTGCCATCACATGTGCTGATATTTGTAAGGAACTTGATAAGGTTGGAATAGGTTGTTACTTATAGGGCAAAGCTGGTAAGAGATATTGAAAAAAATGTTTTTTCCTGTCTTCTAGTGTGTTTTCCTTCTCATGTGCCCCATCTATACTGTCTAAAAGGAAGCTGGCTTAGAAATATACTAATAATTAGCCTCACAGATGATAGGAATTGAGATAGAGTACATATATAGCCAGCACATTTCCCCTGTTAAATTCCTTCCTATCTCTACCCTTCCTATTCACCTTTATTTTAGGTTCTTATTCTCTCATAGAATATGGAGTAGGTACATGAGTGTTCTCCAGTCCAAGTTCCTGGTCCATAGGTCCTGGGGACCTAATAAGGTGGTTATTTTTAGCTTCTTAGATTCAGTTACACAGCAGTAATTAGGAAGCTGGGTTGGGATGTAGTTCAGTGGTGAAGTGTTTACCTAGCATGCACAGAGCCTGGCACTTGACATTCAGCACCCCAAAACAACAGCAACAACCAGCCAACCAACCAACCAACCAACCTACCAGACAAACAAAAGCCAAAAATGTAGCAAGAAGCCAAAAATCTAGAGAGAACATTGACCTTGTGATTTCCATATTCTCTGATGGGAGGCAGGAATTGAGCAAGATCAATAAGTCCATAAAGTGAAGGTGAATAGATATGTAGTATTTAGATGGGAGAATGCTGGTTATTCGTGTTTCTTTTCTTTTTCTGGTATCTGGTATACTATTGAAAACACAGAGAAGTTTATAGAGTAGAAGAATGTTTCGCCTATTCTTGTTCCTCAGCCAAGAAAGGAAGTAACAGCTGTGTACCCAGTTTTGGTTTTCAGCTCTCCTGAGAGTTAGGGCAGATGCAGCTTCCTCCAGGAGTAGAGGTGTACCCTGCTTTCTGATCTTGAGTTTGTCATTGAAATGACACATTTTTGTGACCCTCCCCTCATGACTGATTGAATTTTAAGAGACCATTTTACCTTCTTTTTTATACTCATTATTCTGAATTTGTATGGATTTGTGTGTCAAGCCTCTTCTCCATGTCTTTCAGTTAAAGACATTAAGGCAGAAGCCCAGCCTCTTTCTCCAGCTTCCTCAAGTTGTTCAGTCTCATCTCCTCGGTCCGTAGACTCCTGTTCTTCAACTCAGCATGTTCCTGTAAGTGGCTAGACTTCGTAACGAAGTGGGTTATAATGCAATCGGGAAGGTGGCTGGGGAGGCAGTTGACGTTCATTAAGTGTTCTGAGGAAAATGAGACTTGACGAGGGACTTGTGGGAGTGAGAAGGCTACTGCTACCTTCAAGGTTGGCTCACAGCCCTTTGCTCTTGCTTCCCTAATCTAAAAGTCTTCGCTTACTGGTTTCTTTTCTTCCCGCACCTCACTCTATTATTAGAGTATGCATTCTTTAAGGACATGGAAGAATGTAAGATTTATGACTCCCGGCTCACAGGATCTGGGATATGATCTGTTTAGTTCAGTAACTCCTGCCATTGTCCTTAGAATGAGCTAAGACTTTTGCAGAAGTCTGGCAGACACACTAGCTGGAGTGCGTCTGTCTCAGCTTTGAGGTCAAGAAAATTAAATAATGGGAAAGGTAAAACAAGAAAAAAGTCAAATTACTAGTTCAGGTTCTATATTTAGCCAGCTACTAAATCTTGATATTCTCTCTCTCTCTCTCTCTCTCTCTCTCTCTCTCTCTCTCTCTCTCTCTCTCTCTCTCTCGTGTGTGTGTGTGTGTGTGTGTGTGTGTGTGTGTGTGTGTGTGTGTACATGTACATATGACAGCCTTCGGGAGTGGATTCTTTCCTTCTCCCATGTCAGGAGAAACTCAGATCAGACTGAGTTTCTCAGGCCTGCACAGCAATCATTTCTACCTGCTGAATCATCATTTCTCCAGCCATCTTTTCACTTAATCAATCTTTCTTTCTTTCTTTCTTTCTTTCTTTCTTTCTTTCTTTCTTTCTTTCTTTCTTTCTTTCTTTCTTTCTTTCTTTCTTTCTCTCTCTCTCTCTCTCTCTCTCTCTCTCTCTCTCTTTCTTTCTTTCTTTCTTTCTTTCTCTCTCTCTCTCTCTCTCTCTCTCTCTCTCTCTCTCTCTCTCTTTCTTTCTTTCTTTTTTTTGAGACAGGGTTTCTCTGTGTAGCTTTGCGCCTTTCCTGGATTTCGCTCTGTAGACCAGGCTGGCCTCGAACTCACAAAGATCCTCCTGCCTCTGCCTCCCGAGTGCTGGGATTAAAGGCGTGCGCCACCACTGCCCCGCCCGGCTTTCACTTAATATATCTAAGATTAGTGGGTTTTTTTGTTGTTTTGTTTTGTTACGTTTTTAACCATTTCCAGGCCATCATCATTTGACCTTAGGATAAAAGCCATTAGGATTTTAACTGGTGGTCAGCCTACCAATACTCCAAACCTTTCTTAGAATCATCTTCAAAGATGAACCCTTTAAAATTACAAAATTGATTATGCTCTTTACCTTTAAACCTTTTAATAACTTCCAGACGCTTAAAGTATGAAATCCAAATTCTCTGTGTGCCGAGTCCTTCAAGATCTGCAGCCCTGTGCTAGGCACTTTGCAGCACTGGTCTGAGTTCTTACAGTTTTAGGGCGTTTTAAAAACCCGAGACAGCATCTAACCCTAGAGCTGTGTTAGTCACTTTCCTGGTTGCTGTGACAGAGCACTAAAACACCCTTAGGAGGGAACGGTTTATTTTGGCTCACAGTCTGTCATGGAAGGAGAGGCGTGGCCGCAGGAGAGGGAGGCTGCTGGTCACATCGTGTCCACAGTCAGAAAGAAGACGGGTGAATGCTCCTGCTCTGCTTGTTTTCTCTGTGAGACCCCAGCTGATGGAAATGTGCTGGCCACATCTAGGGTGGGTCTTCCCGCCTCAATCTAATCGAGAAACTACCTCACAGATATGCCTAGAGATTTGTTTTCAAGGTGACCCTAGATCCTGTCCAGTTAATAATCAGTATAAACCACCACAGTAGTCAAAGTGGCTTCAAACTTGTGATCCTGCTGCCTCAGCATCCCAAGTGCCAGGACTACAGGTTCTTTTAAAGGTAGAGTCTTATTGTGCTGCCCAGGCTGGATTCAGTGCAGGTCATGACACTGTCTGGCCTGGATTGTTTCTTTTTTTTTCTTTTTGTGTTTTGTTTTTGAGGCAGGGTTTCACTATATACCCCTGACTGGCCTGGAACTCATTATGGAGATCAGGCTGGTCTTGAACTTGTAGAGATCCTTTTGCCTCAGCCTTCTGAGTGTTAGGATGAAAGATGCGTGCAAGGACACCCAGCCTGGTTTTCTACTGCTTATTATTTATATATTTATATAGAATATAAATCTATCTTATAAATTATAAATATTTATAAATTATGTAAAATATAAATATATATTTTATAAATAAAAATATATTTATTATTATGGTTACTACTAGTACTGCTATTATTATTATTGCCACTCTTCCTCATCCTCATCTTTTTGTCTACCTTCTCTTCTCTTCCTCCTTTCCTTCTGTCCTTCCTTCTTCTGTGACTCAAAAAGTTTTTATCACTCAGAAATTATCTCATGTTTATTTATTTATTATTATTATTTTGTTTTTGTTTTTTGAGACAAAGTTTCTCTGTGTTGCCCTGGCTGTCTTGGAACTCACTATAGTCCAGGCTGGCCTTGAACTCAGAGGTTTACCTGCCTCTGTCTCCCAAGTGCTGGGGTTAAAGGTGTGTGCCACCACCTCCCAGCTATGTTTTGATTTTTTTTCCTCTTCTTACATTGTCTTTTCATTTGGAGTAATCTTAAATTTGCAAGTATATTGCAGAGATTTTTGTCTGAGCCATTTGAGAGGCAGTTGCTTACTGATGGACTGAACTCCAAATACTATAATGTCTATTTCCTATGAACAAAAATATTTTTTATTTAACAATACAGCCATCAAAACAAGGAACTAAACATTGATACATAATAATAAGTTCATATGCAGCCCCCCATTTAGATTGGCCAGATGCCCCAGTACTGTCCTTTAGACCAACAAAAGCACCCAGTTACATTGTTTGTGTTTGTTTTACTGTTTTAATTTTCTTTACTCTGGAACAATTCTTCTTGATCTTTGTGCTTTAATGACCTGACACTTAAATTACTGGGTGTTTCCTCAGAATTCGATTCGGATTTTGTATCTGTGGCAGGAATGTCACAGAAATGATTCTGTGTCTACCTTTTGTTTGTTTTTGTTTTGTTTTTTGAGATAGGATCTTACAGAGTTCAAGCTGGCTTAAAGTTGCTACATAGTGGAAGATGACCTTCACCTCCTGATTCCCTGCCTCCACCTTCCACGAGCCAGCCGAGGTTATAGGTACAAGCCACCCACACTCTACTTTCTCATTCATTTTTGATGATAAAACTTCAGTTTGGTGACACAGTTTCAGCTTGTCCTGTTCATGGTGATGGTCACCTCAGTCAGCTGACAGCATCTGCTAGACCCTCAGCTAGGAAGTTACTCTTTGGTGGGGTGCACTCTGTAGGGCAGGCTGGTTGAAGAAAGAAGGCACTCCAAGATGAAGTTATAAGGCCTCTGTGGCAGTAGGAAGGTCCAGCCTCTTCTGATGGATTGAACCCTGAACAGCCATACCATGGCGTATTTATGGAAAGTTACACAAAGTATTTCCTCATACCAAGGTCCCTAATCTTAATTCATGTGTCTTACTGAAGGAGAGCATCACATGCCTCTGTGACTCTAGTCCTTTATTATGTATTGTGTGCAATACACAATAATACAAGAGCCTCAGGTGTGCCTGAGGCATCCTGTGACCAAAGTCATGGGATGGCTCCAAAGGCCCTTCAGCAAAAGAATTCTACAGATCGGGGAAACGGTCACTGTTTTCCACAAGGATTTGTCAAAGTCGAAGTACTTCTAAAAAACAGCTGTTCATTCTAATATCCTCATACAGTGATTCTCCCAAATCCCTGCAACAATTCTTTCTTCCTTTGCTAGTTGCCACTATTTTATGAAAAAGGTACTTTAAAATTATGAAAAAGTCCTGTTGTTAAAAAATGAGCATTTACATTTTTATTTTGTGTGTGTGTATGATGTATGTGGTATTCATGGGTCACAGGAATGTGTGGAGGTCAGACTCTTTGCCATGTGGGTTCTGGGATTGAATTTAGCGCCCTTACTTCATATTGCTCACTTACCTGTTAATATTAGTGTGGACTCATTGTTTCCCGTTTCGTCTAGAGTATACCCACTGCTGTGATGATCTCTTCTGACCCTGTCTTGTCCTGTATTTAGCCAGTAGGAGTCCCTTCCCTTTGCTCCTGTCGTCTTTTACTGTTTCCATCGGGTCCAGTCATCTTACACCAAGGCTCTCTCCTGGGCCTTGCCTCACCCTTGCCCTGACTTCTGAGATCACAGGGTTCCCTGGGTGAATGCTTTGCCTCTGGTGCTCTGACAAGTCCCCCAGGCATGGATGGTGAGCCTGCAGCCCCATCTAGTGGCTGATGGTTAAATTATTCCAGAAGGAATCTTTTCTATGTGAGTGTTAATACAAATTTATCATAAGGTTTTATTTTTAATATATAGAACTCAGACTAATTTGAAATTTCCATAGTTTGTGCTGCAAGATACAGGCTCAATTTTATGTTTCTTCAAATTATTATCAAAAGGTTTATTCCAATATCATTTATTAAAAGTTTATTTTTTTCCTCACTGATTTCAGTTACAGGCATACATTTTAAAGTTATATAAGTGGTACTATATTAGATCTCCTATTTAAATATTCATTATTATTAATTTACATTTTGAGTTTTGAGACAGAATCTTTGCAGTTTAGGCTAGCCTTGAGCTCAGTGACCCTCTACCTTAGCCACTTGAGCGATGAGGTTATAAGGGTATACCACAGTCCTGGCTTCCATTTAGTTTTAAAGTTTACCTAGTATTGCTCTGTGTACATCAAACCTGTTGCATCTAACTGCATATTTCGATAAGCATTCACTGTATTTTACCCATACCGTAAAGAATATTGTAAAAAATATTCTCTTGTGACCTGTGGGAGAATCCCTTTGGGAGGTGTGTCCAAGCGTAGAAGTGGGTGGTGGGCTACAGAGACTCAATTTGACGTGCGTCCTCAGCTCTCCAGAGCTGTGCTGTGGGCGCTCTGCAGGTTCTTCCGCAGTGTTTGGGGCCTTGGAGCTTTTCTGCTAGTGCTTGACGTTATCCGGTTGTCTAGTGTTTGCCAGATGGCAAGTCTTTGGTTGTTTTATTTTCATTTCTTTGATTACGGGTTGTTTTCAAACTGCCTCTACATTTTCATTGTGTTTTTTGATCTATAAATTGTTTATTCTTGTCTTTTGATAGTTTTTCTATCGATTTGCTGTCATTTTGTGTTATTTTCAAGAATCAGATGTAAGATTAAGATACTAAACTCTGTGTTCTGTGGCTCCTGCATGTGTGTTGGTGTGCAAGGAGGCTGGTTCCTCAGGAATACCTCACCCGTGTGAGATGGCCTCACTCTTCTTGACCTAACTGATCAGGCGCTGACTGACCAGAGAGCCCCAGGGACACTCCTGTCTGCACCTTCCCAGCCCGGGATTAGAAGTGTGAGAGCCAAGCGCTTTAGTGAGCCGTCTCCCCAGCTCTGAAGCTTCAGACTCTTGAGGGCTTTAGGCATTGCTAATCTCATTTCCCTACTAGCTACCAACTTTGTAGTCTTTATTAAATAGAAATTCCTTTTTTTTTTTTTTTGGTTTTTCAAGACAGGGTTTCTCTGTGTAGCTTTGCACCTTTCCTTAAATTCTTAATTTTCAGTCCCCCTGCCCCTAATCTCTTTCCTTCTTGGCTTAATTTGAAGTTTTTTTTTTTTTTAAAGATTTATTTTTTAGATAATTTTAATTTATAAGTATAAGTGTTTTGCCTACATGTATATATGTATGCCATGTGTATGCCTAGTGTCTGCAGAGGTCAGAAGAGGGTGTCAGATACTGTAGAACTGGAGTTACAGATGGTTGTAAGCCACCATGTGGATGCTGGGAACTGAACCTGGTTCCTCTGCAAGAATAACAAATGAATAAAAGAAATGGGAAAGTATATTAATCGTAGCTTAATGTGATGATAAGTAAATGTTTGTATGACTAAGAACCAGGGAAGATCCAGAGTTTGTGGGAACCAGTGGAGAAGCGTGAACGATTTCTGTTTACTGCACGAGTGCAGCGCACAGATGCTGCGTTTCCGTTGCATCCTTGAGGTTGGTGGGTGCTGATTTGTCATGATCTCTGGACACTATGTCTTATCTTTGCATTAAGTTCTCTTGCAGCACTCCTCTGTTTACATGTGGTCTTGTTCTCTTTCTGAGTACTTTGTTGCTCAAAGATTGTACTCTTGGGCATTAATTTGTTTGTGTTTTGCTGCAGGAGGAGTTGGACTTGTCTTCCAGCTCCCAGTCTCCCCTTTCCTTATATGGTGAAAGCTGTCATAGCCCCTTCTCAGTAGAGCCACTGAAGGAAGACAAGCCCGTCATCAGTCCTGGAAACAAAACTGGTATCTGTCTCCCAATTTCTGTTATTTATATTTTAGACAACTTAGGTTCCATTTTTAAGAGTTAAATATTGAATTAGGCATATATTTATTAAGCTGGCTTATTTATTTATTTATTTATTTATTTATTTATTTATTTATTTTTGTTTTTTCGAGACAGGGTTTCTCTGTGTAGCTTTGCGCCTTTCCTGGAACTCACTTGGTAGCCCAGGCTGGCCTCGAACTCACAGAGATCCTCCTGGCTCTGCCTCCCGAGTGCTGGGATTAAAGGCGTGCGCCACCACTGCCCGGCACTGGCTTTTTTTTTTTATTGTAACATTTTATTTTATATGTATGGGTGTTTTATCTGCATTTATGTCTGTGAAACAAGTGCATTCCTCTTGCCTCCAGAGGCCAAAAGAGGGCTTCAAATCCCCTGGAACTGGAATTATAGACAGTTGTAAACTGTTCCAGAATTCAAGTCTTCTTGAAGAGTAACCAATACCCTTAAGTGCTGAGTCCTCTCTCCAGTCCCTAAATTAGTATATATTATTTTGTTGCTGTTCTGAATGATTACTGTGAAGAGGACAAGGGAGAAAAATCATTTGTCTTCTTAGGTGAAAAATACTTAAAGTAGACGTAAATTCTGCCATCTTTAGGGGAGGATGTAAAGGCCCAGGTAGACACTGAATGTGAGAGATAATGACTCTTACCTCATTAAAGTCTGTAGGCAGACTTTTCTCTCCCTCCAGCTGCTCCCTAAGTAACCACACAGAGACTTAATATTAATTATAAATGCTCAGCTGATAGCTTAGCTGTGCTTTTTGTCTAGTTCTTATAACATTAACCCATTTCTATTAATCTGTGCACTTCCCTGAGGCTCGTTTTCCTTATGTGCATACTTCCCATCCTGCTTGCTCTGTGTCTCATGGGGTCTCCTCAGATTCCTTCTCCTTCTTCCCAACATTCTTAATCTGGTTCTCCCACCTTATCCTGCCTAGCTATCAGCCAATCAGTTTTTTATTAACAACAAAAGCAACACATCTTCACAGTGTACAAAAGGATTATTCCACAGCAAAAATCTCGACTTTATTCAGTAATTTTAGCATTATCCTTACCAGTTCATAGTTCCCTTCCTGAAACTGCAGAAAGGATGATCCCGGACTGAGGACTTTTCTTCAGTCCATTCATTTAAAGAGTAGCTGGGTTTTCACTCACTGATGATTGTTACTAGAAGTCAAGATAATATACATAGAGGGAAGTATGTATATAATATAATATGTTTTCTTAATTTTCTTGAGATTGATTTGAAGTTTTGTTTTTTCTCCAGAACATGGACTGACTCCAAAGAAAAAAAATCAGATGAATTCAAAACCTTCAGTTCAGCCCAAGCCTTTATTACTTCCAGCAGCACCCAAGACTCAAACAAATGCCAGTGTTCCAGCAAAAACCATCATTATTCAGACACTACCAGCCCTTATGCCACTGGCAAAGCAGCAGTCAATTATCAGTATACAGCCTGCACCCACTAAAGGTACCTGTGTAGACCATGATGCTCTAGGTTTATTGGAAAGCAGTAAGGCTTATATCACATGATTTATTTTAATTTGGGTTATAATTTTTGAGCATGTACCATTGTGTCAGGAAATTTCCATGGTTCTGAGGATTTTGCAGAGATGATTAATGTGGTTCCTGTCCTTGTAGAGACCGAGCTCTACAGATAAATTATATCTGTTACCTCTTGTTTCCTTACAGCTTTTATTGTGATAATATCTGTATTTAGGGCAACATTATTTTGTTCTTGTTGATTTCTTTTTTTCTTTCTTTTTTGAGGCAGAGTCTCATTATGTACCCTTAACTAGCCTGGAACTCTATAAGTAGCCCAGGCTGGTCTCAGATCAACAGAGATCTACCTGCTTCTGCCTCCTGAGTGCTGGGACTAAAGGTGTGCACCACCCCTGACTGAGGAGGCTTTTGATATTATGAAACCACTTACAACGAAGAAGAAAATTTGAGAGACTTTTTGTATTGCCACTTTATTCTGAGATTATTGTGGCTATGACCTTTTTGTTTTGTTTTGTTTTTAAGGAGTGGTTAGGATTTAAAATAATAAGGACCATTTCAAATCAAGTATGTGTTGAGCAATAAATCTGGCTCTGAATTTCTGAGGAGACTGTGTGGTTTGGTAAGCAAGGCGTTGAACTAGGTTTTCGAAGACCTGACTGCCGCCAACTAGCTCAGAATTGGTGTTTTTCTGTATTTTACCCACCAGATGGCATCATGTGCTTGTGAGTCTACACGAAAGTTCACTATTGAAAGAAGTTCAGGTCTGAGGCTTTGGTAATCTTGAGATATGGGACATTTCTTAGGTAGCGTAGTCCTCACTGTACTTACATTGATCTCTGTACACATGGTTATGAGAAAATTTATGCAGTATTCATTTCTCAGGACTGAATTTATTGGCACCAATTAGCACTAGGAGTTAATAGGGCTTGTGTAAGTAAACATCGGTGTCACATTTACTTTTATGGCTGTATTTGCATTTATGAATCATTAGCTCATTTCTCTAGAGCATGGTTTCAATGGTGGAGGCTTCATAAATTTGATCTTGTGTATTGACCTTGTCTCTTAAATGACCGTGGGCAATAGGACATTAATAAAAAGAACAAAGCAAAAAGAATACCTGATAAAAAAAACAAAACTAATAGCAAAATAGTTTGAAATGCCTTCCTCCATTTAGGATCAACACTTTTTTTTTTTTTTTTTTTTTTAATAGGAAAAATAGCAAACCTATGGGATATGTGTTCTTGTGATGTGTAAGTGGATGTAAAGGGTTCATAAACTCTTTGAAAGAAGGCGAAAGATTTAGTGGGCATTCATATGTGGTGTTTTAGAAATAGTACTTAAAATTTTTTACTAAGATCACGAAAGGATTTGTGTCTTTCCAAAGGCTAAGAATTTTAAGTTCATGAAGAACCTCATTATAGTTCCCACAGCTATTAGCACACATGTATAAAAAGTCCAAGCTGACATTAACATGGCAGGAGGGAATATCCTCAAGAGTTTGCTTTAAACTGTTGGCTCTGTTTGAGTGGTAGGAGAGCTCTTTTTGTTTGTTTTCAAGACAGGCTTTCTCTGTGTAGTCCTGGCTATCCTGTCCTGGAACTCACTCTGTAGAGCAGGCTGGCCTCAGACCCAGAGATCCACCTGCCTCTGCCTCCTGAGAACCAGGATTAAAGGTGTGTGCCACCACCACTGACTGAGATCTTTACTTATAGCAAAAGACAGATTGTTCTTTTCCAAGCATTTTATCAGTTCCAGAGATTAAAATCATACATTCTGAACTTCAGTGATTTCACATGATCTGAGGACTGTATTTTTGATGAGCGGTGCCAATAAATTGTTTGTTTTTGTAATATAATCTATGGATTTTGGTACTAGTATTATAACTTTCAGATTAAATGTCTTTCATACATTGTTGTTGTTATTATTATCAATCTTGAAATTGAGAGTGGAATGAGAGGAAGAAAGGGCTGCGTGATGGTTCAGTTAGTAAAATGCTTGCCACATAAGCATGGAGACCTGAGTTCAGATGCCTAGCACCCACATAAAACGTTGGATGCTCTAGTGCCTGTCTGGAGATAGGTAGATCCCTAGAGGTCACCAAACAGCCTGTCTAGCTCACTGATAAGCTCCAGTTTCAGGGAGAGACCTGTCTCAAAAAGTAAGATGGAGAGTCACTAAAGAAGACACCCAACATCAGCCTCTGGCCTCAACACACATGTGCACACACATGAAAACATACATGCATATACCACATGGGCAAAAAAGAAAAATGACAACTATGTAATACTTACAGGTTTAAGTTCAAATTCTCTAGTATGGGGTTAAAGTGCTTTGCAATTTGGTTCCAATTTAGTTTACTTTTTTTTTTTTTTTTTTTCAAGAAAGGGTTTCTCTGTGTAGCTTTGTGCCTTTCCTGGAACTTGCTTTGGAGACCAGGCTGGCCTTGAACTCACAGAGATCCGCCTGGCTCTGCCTCCTGAGTGCTGGGATTAAAGGCATGTGCCACCACCGCCCAGCTCCAATTTAGTTTTCTAACTTTACAGTATAACATCATTATTTTCTATAGACTTTCGCTAATCTAACTAACCTGGCATTGTCCATTGAATTCTGCCAACCTGAATTATTTTCCTACATAGTTTTGCTTCTTTGTCTTCTGTGCCCTGTAAGAGTGTAAGTAGTGCAGTTGGAAGATGATTAAAGCCAAGACTATCTGAAAGTGGAGAACCAGGAGGGAAGTGGAGCTGTCACACAGCCTGGCATCGTAAGGGTGGGATTGATGGTGGCAGTGTCTGTGGGAGGGGTCATGAAGGACAGAGAGGAAAGTCTCTGGGTGACTTCTATGTTTTTGTCTTAGACCTTTTTGGTGATACTGCAGCATCACTTAAATTAGGGGTACATCTAGAAGAGGGGATGCCAGAGTGAAGCCAAGTTGGCTGGCTGGCCAAATCTTAGTAATTAATTATAATATTTCATCTAAAAACATGCTGAAATGTAATCAGTTTTGTCCTCAGAATTCTGCCTTTTAATTTGAGATTTAAATTTGTATAAATAATTACATAGCAATTGTGAGAACTAATGAGTTGCTAATACATGGAAGCTACTATTAAAGAGAAAAAGTGTCAATAATGAATGTATGCTAAGCTGTTGTTATGTGCCAGACATTCTTCTTTTCTTTTCTTTCTTTTTTTAAATTTATTTATTATGTGTACAATGTTCTGCCTGCGTGTATGCATGCAGGCCAGAAGAGGGCGCCAGACCATCATTACAGATGGCTGTGAGCCACCATGTGGTTGCTGGGAATTGAACTCAGGACCTTTGGAAGAACAGCTAGTACTCTTAACCGTTGAGCCATCTCTCCAGCCCCCTTTTCTTTTTCCTTATTAAATTTTTTTATTTATTTTACATCCCAACCACAGTTCCCCTCCCTCTTCTCTTCCCATTCCCTCCTGAACCTCCCTTCTGGCTCCTCAAACCCCTGCCCCCGCAACCATTTCTCCTGCGTCTCCATTCAGAAAGTCCAGGCCTCCCATGGGAGTCAGCAAAGCACTGGGCATATCAGTTTGAGGCAGGACCAAGCTCCTCCATTCTGCAGCAAGGCTGAGTGAGGATCCCACCATAGGGAGTAGGTTCCCCAAAGCCAGCTTATGCACCAGGGACAGGTCCTGGTCCTACTGCTAGGGCCCCCACAAACAGACCAGGCTACACAACTGTCACCCACATGCAGAGGGCCTAGGTTGGTCCCATGCAGGCTTCCTAGCTGTCGGTCTAGAGTCTGTGAGCTCCCACAAGCTCGTATCAGCTGTCTCTGTGGGTTTCCCCAGCCAGCCATTCTTCTAAGTGCTTAAATGCATTTTCTTATTTAATGGTTACATATCTCTCAGGATAGGTATCAATATTTTCATTTTATTGATGAGAAAACCTGGAACAAAGAAATATTTGACCAAGTTGACACAAGTGTGTTATTATTTAAAACAAAGTAGGTATTCCTTAAATGTTTGATATGTGGTTTGAAATCTTTGAAGAAAGTTAAAAAGAAAGAACTGACCATCAAAATCAGTGATCATATATAGACACATTCAGCATTGAATCCAGCTGTCTTCCGTTAAGGGGATTTGCATGTAATGCTAGAGAGGATTTTGAGTATGCCAAGATGGATAAACAACCCTTTGGTGTGTTCTGTTTTATGCGTTTCCACACCAGGAGCAGTAGTGACTATGTTCAGCTGCTAACTACAGAAGGCCCCAAACAGTCCTTTGCATTGTAGTCTGTAGCTAGAGTTTTCCTGCCTTGCCCACAGTCAGGACAAATCCTTGTCACCCGCCAGTCCCACAGCCGCTCAGACCCAACCAAGTAAACACAGAGACTTATATTGCTTACAAACTGTATGGCCGTGGCAGGCTTCTTGCTAACTGTTCTTATAGCTTAAATTAATCCATTTCTATAAATCTATACCTTGCCACGTGGCTGGTGGCCTACCAGCGTCTTCACATGCTGCTTCTCCTGGCCGTGGCTGCAGTCTCTCTCCTCAGCCTTCCACTTCCCAGAATTCTCCTCTCTCCTTGTCCCAACTACTTCCTGCCTGGTCACTGGCCATCAGTGTTTTATTTATATATAGAGCAATATCCACAGCACTTCCCCTTTTCTTCTTTTTTTTAAAAAGGAAGGTTTTAACTTTAAAATGGTAAAATTATATATAACAAAACAATTACCGAGCAAGAATTATAGTTACAATATTAAAGAAGATGTCCTATCTATCTTATATTTGTGAGTTTAAGGTTTTATGTCTAACTTATCTTTTATCATAACTGAGGAAATTACAACTATCTAGTTTTCAACCACATCAAAGACCTGAGAAGGAACATAATGGTACCTGAGAAATGGTAGATGGATGCAAGCAACTTTCGGGAATCTTGCAAGAGTAGACCAAGACAGCTGGCAGCCTGGACAGTCACCTAATGTTTCTCAGCATAGTTGGTGCATTCAAATTGGCTACAGGCCTAGAGTATCTGACAGACCATTTTCAGAAGCAGGATTTCTGAAAGACCATCTTACCCTGTCTTGGCAGAGTACAGTGGTCGCTTTCCTTGTGTCCCGCTTGTCCAGAAAGGACAGCATTGCATTTGTACTGTCAGCCATCAAGGCAAGGGCAGTTCTTTGCCCAGTAGGCCATTTTGTGCCAAAAAGACAAACTTCCAAATGGAAATGTCTTAGAAGCCCAACATTCTCTCGGCCATACAGTTTATAAGTGATATAAGCATCTGAGTGATTATTTTATACATGGATTGTGGGACTGCGGGCCTTGGGGAACCTGGAGAGAAGCCCTCCAGCAACAGTAGTCTGTGGCCTGGTCAGCACTTAGCAAGTAACTAGGAGCATCTTTTGTTTTTGAACATATCATAATAGAAATTTAATGGTTCTTGCCATTCTGCTTGAACTTGAACATGCCTAAAATATTTAGAGGATCCTTGATTTAGATAAAGCTGAGACTGTTGGAAACTTTAGGGTGTAAGAGCTTGAAATGAAGTGTGGAATAAGGGAGGCACAGTGGCCTGGTGTGACTTGAGCCATATTTGGTGTACAGACTGCCTTGATAATCCTCCCTCTCCCCAAGATGCAAATCTCTTGGCTGGGAAATAGGGACAGCGAGACAGTGGACAGTGAGACTGGATTGTTTTTCTTTCCTTTCTGCCTTCCTCATGCCTGCCTCCTGTCTTCCTGCCTTCTTGTCTGTCTACCTGTCTTCCTGTCTGCCTGTCTGTTTTCCTGCCTGCCTGTCTGTCTTCCTGCCTTCCTTCTTTTCTTTCTTTTTTAGTAATGGAAATTGATCCTTGGGCCCTGTTCATACTTGGCAAGTGGTACCACTGAGCCCTATACATCCCCAGCCTTCTTTTAACTTCTACTTTGAGACAGTTTCCTTAAGTTGCTTAGGCTGATCTTGAAGTCCCTCTGTAGCCCTAGCTGGGCCTTGAACTTGTGATCCTTTTACCTGGCCTTCTTAGTAACTGGGATTATAGGCCTATACTACCAGGCCCAGTTTGGATTATTTTTAAAAATTAGTTTAAGGAATATTACAGACATTCACAAGAGTTATTTACCAGTGCTTTAAATTTGCACCTGGGTCTACAGATCTGATCCTTTCTTTGAGGATTACTATCTTCTCTGTGGAATAGATTCAAGTTTGGAACAACGCTTAGAGGGGAAGGTTTTTTTTTTCCTTCTTTTTTTGTAATCACAATTTTAAGCTTAGAAGTTTTGGAACGTTGTTTCTGAGAATGCTCTTCTCTTCTCCAAGTATTGGTTTATGTACTGGTTCTATATGGTGGGGTGGTGGGGTTAAATAGGAAAGCAGTGGTCTTATGGCATTTTACAAGGCATCCTCAAATCTCTATTTGTTGCAAGCTATTACTGTAGATCAAATAATTTATTTCACTTATTTTTATAAAATTATTTTCAAAAAATTTATGGCTATATCTGTTAATAAATTACAAATTCATTTTACTTTTATTTATTTATTTATTTTTTCTGTTTTGGTTTTGAGATGGTGTCTTAATACATAGTCCAAGACTGGCCTTGAACCAAAAATCCTATCTCTGTCTCCCAAGTGTTTGGATTTATAGCCATACATTCCTATGCCCAATACAAATTCATAGCTAAATTCCTTTTTTGTTGTTTTTTTCGAGACAGGGTTTCTCTGTGTAGCTTTGCGCCTTTCCTGGAACTAGCTCTGTAGACCAGGCTGGCCTTAAACTCAGAGAGATCCTCCTGGCTCTGCCTTCCAAGTGCTGTGATTAAAGGTGTGCACCTCTGCTGCCCGACTCATAGCTAAATTCTTAATAGTCTTTTCTCATTATGCATTTTCATGGTCCATAGAAACTGACAAACACCATAATTATCTTGTATGGCTGAGCCGTCTCTTTGATGTTAAAGAAGAGTACTTTTGGACATGGTGGTGTGTACCTGTAATTCCAACACTTGGGAGGTTGAAGCTAGAGGATTGTGAATTGAGGTTAGCCTGGGCTACATCTCAGGTTGCAGGCCAGCTTTGAGGTACATAGTGAGATCCTGTCTCAAGAACCCCAGGGCTGAGTGGTAGAAGGCCTGCTTGGCTTGTGCAAGACCCTGGGTTCAAACTCCAGTGCCCCGAGAAGTGAGTATATTCAGCTAGAAATCCTTCGCTTCAGGTTTTTACATTATAGTAAGTGTATCTTTTTAATGCCAGAGTGACTTAATGTCTTATTCAGTGTTGTTAAAAATTTAATCTCTGTTCATACATTATTTATATATTACTTTTTTTTTGTATTTCTGGCCTAAGCATATATTTATATAACTGCCTTTAACTCATTTCTCCATTTTATGTGAATTTATTTTATAACAGAAGTCAGTTTAGGGGAAAACGAGGAGATAAACATATTTGGTCCCAGTAAATTGTATGTATTTCAAATTTATGAAATTAATTTTAAGTTTTCTTACAAACTTAATACTTATAAGTGCTAATAACTGAATTGGGAAAAATGGTAACATTTGAATTCTACTTCTGGTCTCCTTTTTGAGGTCACTGAAACAAAGAATTTTATAAATGTGATCTTTTTTAGCCAAGACAGCTGTTTTTAGCCAAGCCAACAAACAGGTGTTCTGAAAGTATTTTCATTTTCAGTTTTCCCAACCCTTTGAAATATGAAGCTAAGCTTTATAAGTCATTTTAAACTGCCTGAACATAAAATGTCTGTTTTTCCTTGAAGAAGAGTTATAAATCTATATTGTATTTAAAAGTTTCTGGTTATAATAGTACCTTTATACAGCTAGATAAAGCCAAACTACGCAGATATTAGGCAAGGCTTTCAATACCTTATAAAATTGTAAAGGGAAGGAAATGGGCAGGTAAGGTTTTAATAGATCAGTATTAGGAGTTGTATGTGCTTTCCTGAGGGCAGTGATGTTAGTTCTCCTCAAAGAGTGCTAGTTTAAGATAATGGCACCTGCAAAGAACAGGAAGAGATTTGAAGATCACTGTTTTGGCAGGGATCAGAAAAGTTGGTATTATTTATAGACAGTCATTGTACCTGTTAAATACATTTTCATCTTATTTGGTTTCATTTTTTTTTTTTTTTGCATTTGTAGTCACTTGGCTCTTTCCTACATATTTGTATATGTATGTATTTGAAAATCTTTTTGTTTTTTTTTTTTTTTCAAGACAGGGTTTCTCTGTGTAGCTTTGGAGCCTGTCCTGGATCTCACTTTGTAGACCAGGCTGGACTCGAACTCACAAAGATTCGCCTGGCTCTGCCTCCTGAGTGCTGGGATTAAAGGTGTGCGCCACCACCTCCTGGCTGTATTTGTAAATCTTAATTTAAAGGTTTTATTGTTTAAAATAAGAAAAATTCATATAGAACTAATAAACTTCAGAGGCTAAACTTGGAAAATGTAGATATGACAACAAATTGTTATGTATTGTTGTTATATTAAAAAAGATAAAAATGAACTACTGCCTGGTTTGTTCATGTCTCTAGTGAGTATTTTTGCCTTCTTCCCCCAAGTACTGGGAATTCAACCCAGGGCCTTATGCATGCTAGGCAAGCCCTCTACCACTGAGTTATATCCCCAGTTCTCTTTTTATTTACTTTGTGAAATGAGGGTCTGAACGGACTTCTGATTCTCCTAGTTCAGCCTTCATAGTGGCTATAATTTACAAGTCTGCATCATCAGACCTGGCTTTAAAAAGTTTTTGAATTTAAATTGTGTGTGTGTGTGTGTGCATGCACACATGTGTGCAAATACTTGAAGAAGCCAGAAGATGGTGTCAAAACTCCTGGAGTTGGAGTTGTAAGTTGTAGTAGTAAGCTACTCAACGTGGGTACTGGAAACCAAATCCAGGCTCTCTTGAAGAGCGGTAGGCACTCTTAACCATTGAGCCATCTCTCCTGGCCTCTTTTACTTTTATCAGTTGAGTCTTGCTGTGCTGTCCAAACTATCCACAGGTTTCTGGGCTTGAGTGGTTCCTCGGTGTCAGCCTCTCAGCTACTTGGACTATAGGTATATACCATAGGTATATACCACATCTGATTGAAAATAGATTGTTAATGATAACTCAAAGAGGATGAACTTAGCTGGTCCCATTAAAAACACAGCAGAGTCCGCCGTAGTGTATGTTGTTACTGGTAATGTCTTATTTAATGGTATGAAGTTCCCCAGGATCAATCTGTCTATCTTCAAAGAGACCTGAATGTTAAACTGCTCCCTGACACAATGGCTCCGCACCACATGATCCCCTTTCTTTCCCTTTGTTAAACCCAGGTCAGACTGTTCTGCTCTCTCAGCCCACTGTGGTTCAACTTCAGGCCCCTGGAGTGCTGCCTTCTGCTCAGCCTGTTCTTGCTGTCGCAGGAGGAGCCACCCAGCTACCTAACCATGTGGTGAATGTGGTGCCAGCCCCTGTGGTGAACAGTTCAGTGAATGGAAAACTTTCCGTGACTAAACCTGTCCTACAAAGTACCACAAGAAGTGTGGGTTCAGACGTAAGTACTTTCTAAATGCCTGGTTTTAAAGACAGACAGTTCCTTTGGCTTTTGTTGTTGTTTTTTAAAGTTTGTTTTATTGAGTGAAAGAAAAGACTGCCAAAATTGCACATTTGGTGTTTGGTGGAAAAGATTTTGATGAAGAGTGAAGTACACACACCTCTGTGTTCTTTACTTTGTCTTTAGAATCTTTTCATCCTGGTCCTCAAGTCCCAACCAAATCATCCACTAATATTTTATAGATTCTTTCATAACTCCTGCTTGAAATTATTTATAGCAATTCCCCTGATGAGAGTCTGTAGACTTCTTTTTAGGCAGGTTTTATATTTAGCTCTCTCTTGACTTATTTATTTATGTGTGTGTGTGTGTGTGTGTGTGTGTGTGTGTGTGTGTTGGTATGCATGTGAAAGTCAGAGACCAGCTTGGTGGGAGTGAGTCCCCCTTCCACCATGTGGGTCCCAGGAATTGAACCCAGGTTTCTAGGCCTGATGGGAAGGGCCTTAACCTGCTGCGCCATCTTGCCCACCCTTCTCTTGATTTTTTGAAGTATTTTCAGCACTTCATGACTCTTAAGAAAAAGAATTCTGTCTCTTTGTGGTTATTTGGAATTTTACCCTCTTTGTAAACCCTAAAAGTTTCTGATATTGTATGGATTTCTTATAAATGACACTTTCCTAAGGCCAGTTACAGCATCTGCCAGCTAACTCTTGCTTTCTTTCAATGTCACTAAAGATATCTCTTGCTGTGTATTCAAAGGAATTGAGCATCAAAATCTTTTTTTGGAGACTGGGTCTCTCTACATAGCCCTGGAACTCAGTATGTAGATTAGGCTGGCCTTGAACTCAGAGACTCATGTTCCTCTGCCTCCTTCCTAAGTGCTGAGATTAAAGGCATGTGTCACCATGCCATGCTCAGACTGCTTTCTGCTGTCTACTAGAATTTACTTAAGCAGCATGGCAGTGACTGACCACTTATCTGTGAATGTACTTTTCCATTGTATAAGTATAGCTGTAATATTGTGAATATTTGTAGCAAAACATATATAGTGAGTATAGTATCCGTGGTTTAGAACAAGAGTCCCTTGGTTTATATCAGTATGGAGAACAATGCATATCAAGATATGGAGCAGGAAAATTAGTTTTGTATGGAGAGAGAGAGGGAGAGGAGAGAAAAGAGAGAAAGAAAGAAAACAGCTTTTTTTCACAGCATCTCCTTGTGGTCGGCTGTGTCAAGGTGAAGCTGAACTGAATACTTCCTTCCCAACTACCAGCTGTCAGACTGATTGAAGTAGATGATAAACACAAATTTTGTGCTTTCCATGAGAAGTGCATGGGCACAGAAGTAGCTGCTGATGTTCTGGGTGAAGTGTGGATGGGTTATGTGGGTGTCTTGACACAGCAAAATGCACTGCTGTTGAGTAAGGGGCATTCTCATTATAGACCAAGGAGAACTGGAGAGAGGATGTGCAAGTCTGTTTGCAGATAGATGCATTGTGGATGCCAATCTGAGTGTTCTCAACTTGGTTATTGTTAAAAAAAGAAAAGAAGGATATTCCTGGACTGACACATAGTACTGTGTGTGCCTTGGTGGTTGGGGCCCAAAAGAGTTAGCAGAATCTGCAAACATTTTAATTTTAAATTAAATTAAAAGAAGATGATGTCTGCCAATATGTTGTCAGAAAGCCCTTAAACAAAGAAGATGAGAATGCCAGGACCAAAGCACCCAAGATTCAGTGACTTGCAACACAAACACTGATGTATTGCTCTGAAGAAATAATGCACTAAGAAAAACAAAGAGGAAGCTGCAGAATATGTGAAACTTTTGGCCAAAAGAATGCAGGAAGCCAAAGAAAAGCACCAGGAACTGATCGCCAAGACATACAGGCAGTTCTTGCTGTGAAATTCTGCTTCTAAGTCTGAGTCCAGTCAAAAATTAGTCTTTAAGAGTAACAAATAAATGACCAGACTTTGAATTAAAAAAAAAAAAAGGCATCTGGTGAGCACAGAATATAGGAAACAGTATTGGAAAGATGTAGATAGCTATCGAATCTGGTTTCTTTACTTTTAGTACATGGGGACTTTCCACAATAAGAAAAAGAATGACAATAGCAAAAATTAAAAAATAATCTGTGATTTTTTTTTCATTTAAAAAGTATAACCAATAAGTAAAGAGAATGCTTTTCAAGAAAACCAAAATGGTTTAAAATGATAGAGACCTTTTCTTTTTTTTTCTTAGACATGGATATATTTTATTATCATTGAGACTAACAAGAACAGGTTTATATATAAGATGTGACTCCCAGGGCATGTCTGACTATCCCCCCAACTGCTTAGGGCCTCTAGCCTTGGGGGATGTGGTTAAGTTTATACCAAGCCAGTCTTGCCACATGGGGCAGGGCACAGCAACTGGTTTTAACACCAAAACTCTTCAATTGCACCCCTTCTGGGGAGGTCCCTTAAGAGATGTGGAAGAACCATCCTGGCCAGAGCTGAAGAGGGGTGTGACTGTGGGCCTGGCAGGGACAAGGGCCCTGCTCAGAGATCTGCCCTGTTGTTGTTTTTACTCTTTGATCTTTGGGGGTCACCACTCAGCTTCCAAATAAATACATGGAGACTTAATATTACTTACAAATGCCTGGCTTTAGCTTGCTTTGTTTCTAGCCAGCTTTTCTTAACTTAAATTATCCTGTCTACCTATTGCCTATTGGATTTAGGGCCTAAAGAAGGAAGGGTGGTGAAAAGGTAGGGCACACAGGGTTTAAGTCACTGTAGACCTAAAATCTGGCTCTGGGAAATGGGGCTTACTCCTCCAACAGGGATTCACTGTCCCAGGCTTCCAGATGAGGGCTTTGCTTCTCTAGAGTCAATGGGAACTTTTAAAAAAATTCAAAGATCCCTTAAAATTTCCTTTGAATACTTTTGAAATTAGGAGCTTGACATTTTCTCGTATCATATTCCCAAATGAAACTAACACTAGAAAACATTATATTACCTTAGAATTTTAAAGAGAGCAATAGTATGCCATGATTATTAAAATATTAACATAATTTAATATTTTTTACAATTGTAACAGCCCAAGTGTTATGAATTCCAGTGGAACAAAAGATGGGAAAGGTATCAAATTACTGAGAGCTGGAGATATGACTTGTGGTAGAGTGCTTGCTTTGCATGCACAGGACCGAAGGTTCAATCCTTAGTGTCCACTCTACATGCCCTGTCCCTGCCTCTGCCCCACCCCCAAGAAACCATGTCATAGAAGAATGTTAAAGATTGAAGTGATTCAGTACACTAAAAGAGAAGACTGAAAGTAGACATAGGAACCATCTTCTAGGAAAGGCAGGATGTCATGTGGACAACAGAATTATTCCGAGTTATTCCAGTGGGTTATCTGGAACAGGTGCAGGTAAGTGATGGAAAGACCTCTTCTAATCCCAAGCTTTTATGTACAGCCATTGTGTTTAGAAACTGGGAACCATTGTTTTCTTTTTAGACTGTATGTGATTAACGGGCATCTGAATGTTGACAGTCATCATGGATTCACTGACCCATTTGTAATCTCCAAATATATTCAGTTAATTACACGTTGGTCTGTTAGCCAGACATCTTTCATTAGTTGTTTGATGTGAAAGAACATATGTTGGGTTTTTGTAGAGTACCCTGGGAAGTTTTGAGTGACTTGCTGACAAAGTCTCAGTTAATACTAAGGAACTGAAGGAAGTTTGAGATGAGAATGCATTGTACTGATGAGTGTTATCTTTTACTGTTAGCAGTATTTATTGGCTAGTCAGCTTTCAGAATTTAGAACTGATAGAATTCTCAAAGAAAGATTAATGTAGTCTGTGTGTAATGTAAGATACCTAACGACTATTCAAATGATTTTCTAGTCAACCTGCATTGAGGTTTTTTGTGCTATTTTCACCTAGCTAGCCTATCAGGATGTCTTAGGTACTGTTCTATTGCTGTGAAGAGACACCGTGACCAAGGCAGCTCTTGTAAGAGAAAGCATTTAATTGAGGACTTGCTTACAGTTTCAGAGGTTTAGTCTTTTAACATCATGATGAGGAGCCTGGTGGTGTGCAGGTGTGGTTCTGAAGTAGCTGAGAGCTACATCCTGATCCAAAGGGAGAGAGAGGGAACTGAGTCTAGCATGGGCTTTTGAAACCTCGACACACTTCCTGCAATAAGGCCACATCTCCTAATTCTTTTCAAATAGTGCTACTCCCCAGTGACTGAGCATTCCAATATATAAGCCTATGGGGGCCATCCTTATCTAAACTACTACACAGCAACTGAGTCAAGACTTTTCAGTATGAATTTTTCATATTTATGTAAAGTAGAAAAGCATTAGTCTGTCTATCAGCTGGCTAACCTACCAAAGGAACCCAAAGTATACCTGTTCTAGAAGGAGTTGTAGAGAAGACTGTGATCCACCGGAAGGCCTCTGTGTTAGTAACATGCATTTTTTAAAGTCTCATTAAATTTTAATTAGTGTAGATACAGTCTTGATTAAAAATGTACACCCTCCAATTTTCATATCAGGTAATTTTTGTGCTTTTACACCAAATGGTGAAGAAGTCGTAATTCAGAAAAAAAAGGTATCAATCTTTTGTGACTTTGTAATGCTGACATGGCTACTTTTCCCTACCTGTTTTGAATTCTTTTGTTTGGCAAGTTTCTTTCTCCAGAGGCCTGCTACTGCCATAAGTAGCGTTTCTAGCATACCATATTCTGCAGATGGCGTTAAGTGCCACATTTCCAGTTATGAAACAGTTTGCCTGGTTCAAATTAGAATTTCAGTCTTCCTGCCTTTTGCTGGTAAATCTGTTATGTTTAACTCTTGGAAACCTTACCTACATTTTCAAGAAGTATGATTTAGTTTTGACTCTGATCCTGATAGAAAAAATAGACATTTCATTCTAGTGTAGACATTCTCTTCGTAGTCTGTTAATAAATGCAATCATGGAATTATAAAGTTGACAGAGAGCATGCTTATCTTTCTTT